TATATATATATATGAAAAGAAAACAACTCAAACCACAGATACAGGGTGAGCGATATTGCCAGGTTTGAGAAACACTAGCCTAAAGCAGGTTACAAACCCTGTGGACTTGAGAGCTTAGGAGCAATAAGAGGACAAGCCCAAACCATGGGTGTCCACATTCTGACTGCTGGATTTCTTCTCCCAGAACAATACAGGGACACCCCTGTGCTACACTTCCAGCTGCACGAACACAATTCCTTTGTCTCCTACTTGTTAGTTTTTTAGTGCAACCCGACGGGGTCTTTGTTCAAAACTGAGTCTTGGAATAAACGGAGGCTGGGTTTGCTGTCAGCCATTAGGTCCTCGAGTGACCAACCTTCTCCAGTTATTACTGATTTATTTAAATGTATTGGCCGCTCAGCTCCAGCGGTCTCTGTTGGTAGCCGGGCCCCATCAATGGAGAAAGGAGCTCCTCTCCCTGTTAGCCTGAAAAGCTATTTTGCTAAAGATGGGTTTCTTTAAAAAGCTACAAGGCGAGAGGAACAAGAATCGCAGGAACAAGCTGTCCATTGTCTTTGGATCCCCGTCTCAGTTTCCGCTCCTGTTCCAAATGTTGAATCTTAGGCCAGGAGCAATGACAGTTGAGTTCTGTATGGGAACAAGAGATTTGGCTCCTATTATCAAAGCTTTCCAATTCCCCTCTCTTCCCCTTCTGTTTGCCCTCCGGCTCAAGTCCTTCCGCCACGTCATCATGGGCTGGCTGACCGAGGCCGTTCACTCCAAGACTCATAAGGGAGACCACTGGTTGTGGTGTTGGAGGAACTTTTGACCAGTGTGGATTAGAGTCAGCCAGCTAGGGAAGTGAGATGCACCAGGTTAGCCAAACTTCCTCCGACTGAAAGTTGGAGAGGTTGGGTATCCAGAGGGCACTGGATGTGGGTAACCTAGGGGTGAGCATCAGCTCTTCTTGGAGGCCAGAATAGGAGTGAAGCTGCTTTAAGGTGGAGCCTTGAATGTATGCCATATACTCATGAAATGAAAAGACATCTCCATATCTCACCTCCCATGGTGGCCCTACAAGCAGGTATGGCCGTGTCTTCTATCAAGAGAGTTGTTGTGAGGGTTCCTTGTCTCCATCCTGATGAGTCTATGGATGGGAGTAGACAGTTTTCGTGGCAACATTTCAGAAGTGTCAGTACCAGTAACTTATTTCAGGGTGTTTTTGACCTCCTAGTCCAGGAAGAGAGAGAGAGAGAGGAGCTGATCCAAAGTCATCCAGCTAGGTTCTGGGCCTAAGAGAAGACTAGAACCTGGATCTCCCTATTCCTAGTCCAGCACCTTCTCCACTGTCCCACACTGGCTTTTGTGCTGTGAGAGGGGCTGTCCAACGTCCCCCAGAGACCTTCTGTGGCTAAAGGGGAACTAGAACCTGGCCCTTCTCATTCCTTGATGACCACCTTCATCACTGTCCCACCCTGGTTTTTGAACCGAGAAGGAGAGACTGGCCCAAAGTCCCCTATGGACCTTCTGTGGTTGAGGGGGGACCAGAATCTGGTCCAGCGCCTTCTCCACTAGACCTTGGGCTGAGAGAAATGAACTGGCCCCAAGTCACCCAGCTGGCCTTTATGCCAAAGAGAGTGCTAGAACTCAGGCCTTCCCACTCCTATTCCAGCACCTTTAACCACTACACCATACTGCCTCTCCTGCACCAAGGCGTTGGATCCTAGTAGTCTGTACTTGAATGGAAGACAATTAGGAGATCATAGAGCCAGGTGGCTCTCCTGCCTAGGGCAAGATTGATATTGGCCTTGCAGGGTAAACCAGATAGGAATCACAACCAGATGAGCTAATTCTACTTTATTGCAAAGCTACATTGACAGAATTTTGCAAGTCTGAAAGTACAATTCCCCCCCACCGTCTCCTTTATAGCCCAAGAAATTAGGGAGGGTCCCTTCTGAACCTCTTTCTCCATCCATTATGCAGCTGAGGGCTGTGCTCCCTCTTATCTGACTGTTCCTTTGGCAGCGTCTCTCGGCCCGGTCTCCCCAGGTCTTTCCCCCATACCATCACACTACCGTTCTTTGTTTTATTTTGCTGCATTTTATTTCCTACGTACCTTGTCCTAAAATATTGTTCATTTGACCATCTAGGGATTAAAACCAAAACATCTCTGGCTGTATTCCATTAATTCTTCTCTCCTTTGCTGTTCTCTTCTTTTAGGGTCATGATGTTTGAGGGCAAGAGTCAGGACAGCACCCCCAAAGTTTCAGGTCCTCCTCCAGAAAGAGATCTCTCAAGTCTTCCTTAGAGAGAAAGGAGAATCTCCAACCCAGCTGGATCTTCTCACCTCTGTCCTGCAGGACCATCGCTAGATCTCTGCTCTGTTGCTTTTAAACCAGCCTGTTTTAGAAACCCATGGACTCCACCCAAAGGAATGACAGGGAAAAATCCACAAGTCATCTTCCAGAGGAGTATCTAACTAGCCCCTAATTTTTATTGTTCTAACCTGAATTGCAAGCCCCGTCTTTCTCAAGAATGGAAGAACACTCAAAATGCAAAATCCAAATTTCATGGACCGTTTTTCTGCTGATGTTGCTCCCCAAATCCTTCTCTTGCTTTTGCTTCCAAATCTGAAATAGATCAGATGTTCTCTACCACCACTTCTCTTCCAAACAGAAACTACTTTCATGAAAGTTTTTTCCATGCAGCTGAAAAAAAAGGCAATCGTGGTCATGTCGGTCGAAGGGGGAAAAATCCCAAGGATTTAGCTGGGTAATATCTTTCGTAGGACCCACCCAAACCACACACAAGCTTTTGAGCTCCCCAGAATTTTGCATCAGGCTGTATGTTATTTAAAAAAAAATATGGTGAAGAAGTAAAACAAAAAAACCCCCAAATCAGAGAAGTTTTAGGCCAAGTTGGATGGTGTAGACTTGATTGAAGTCATGGTTAGCTCTGGAGTTGGGGTCTACAAATGAAAAAAAAATATGTCCAGCTTTTGCAGAACCACCACAAAACATTTCTAAGTGCCTTTTTCCAGTAAGGAGCAACTTCCCTGATTTCTGATGACCCTTTTTCCTTCCGTCCCCCTCCACAATGCAAACATTTTTGCAACGGCCCCGTTCTACTGGTTTTCTCATCTTGGTTTCTTTCTTCAAGCCAACTCAACCACTTTCCTTGACCAGATCAGTGTGTCTTCCCCTTCTTGATATGTGACTGCGGAGTGAGAAACATTTGGCTGTGGAGTTGGTTTTAATCATCTTAAGGTCTTCTTCCTCTTTGAATGGCTGAGTTGCCCCATCATCAAGTCTCTGTTGAGTTGAACTCAACTCCTGATGAGTAACTGGATACTCAAGTTCTCTCATTATCTTGGTAACAATACAAAGTGATTTGTCATTTACTTCTTTGGGGTTTTCTTTTTTTTCAACCTCCCAGTCTAGCCATTCAGCCTCGGGGCCTTCTGATGTCTCCCATTCAAACACTAACCAGCTTCAACCCTGCTTAGCTTTTCAAGATTGGCTAGTTGCTGTCCCCCGCTGCCTTGAAACCCAGATGAACAAATACAGTTCCTATGCGTCCATGGCACACCCCACCAAATAAACCAGATTCTGGCTTATGATGTATAGATCATGGACACCAATGAAAAGTAACAGGATTCACACAGCATGTTAAACTCAGGATCTGTAAACTCAATGGCTCCATTCACACAACAGTACAGGCGTGGCGCCCTCACCCAACGCACCGCAGACCACTAAGTCCGTTTTAGTCGAATGTGTGGTGTGAACTCTGGTGAGGTGTGTTATTTCAGCTACCTCAGCCACAGAAAGCCAGCTTTGCTGTGTGTAGACCCTCCTGTTTATGTTGTCAGGGGTTCTGCTTTGAATCCCTTTGCCCGTAGCTTGACACTGTCTGGTTCATGCATCGCACACAGCCATGAAACAGTTGTTTGGGGTTAGCTCCCTGGCTAGTGTGAACCCAGGAGGGTGCAAACCAAAGCTCAGGATTCAGTGTGGCATGCCAGTCTACCCAATGGTGGTTTATTCAACCAACTGTGGTTAATCAAGACTTGGCTTAGTGCCACGTGCAAAACCAGGCTACGTGGGCTGTGGGGAGCATCTCTGCTCTAGGATACCTTCAGTGCAGGCTGTTGAGGGTGTCCAGATGGCTGTGTGCTCTGGATGAAAAATACAACTGAATGTCAAGCAGCCACTTCTAGTAGGAAATGACCTAGGGACCCTATAAATCCTAGGATGCAAATGAATCTGGCACTCAAGTGCTTCCGTCGACCTTACAAGGAGAAACTCCAGGGACTTCTGGATCTGGAAGAGGGATCCAAGAACTTGTGAGAAGGGTTAGGAACTATCAACAGATTCTCTGATCTCATCGGAGCATCTTCACGTGTGTTGTTGATACGAGAGGAGAGTTATCCAACTCCTTTTCCAAAATTAACCTATCAGGGAGTTCACATCAGCCTTTGTTGGCCACAAACTGGCGCACACCGGGGGTCATTTCGGTAAGTGCCGCGTTCATCCAAGGGAACCTTGAGTTGGTTTTTCTGAGGAGCTTTTGCAGCTCCCCTTATGAACCTGGGGCCGTGAGAGAATTCTCTGAAATCTTCCATATTTATGGTACATTTATGGCTGGTTCTTTTGGGGATTTTACCACCGGATCCCTTGTCCAGTTCTTTTTCTATTCATCTTAAGACACAGGTGAGCGGGTTGGTTTGGGAGCCTCCTGTTTGGCTTGTACATCCATGATTTTCGGTAATGAAACAGCAACAGTGCGATCAGGCTGTTGAACGCTCTTGTTCCTCGTGGCATTGCAGCTCCTGGAATTATTCCTCTTAGCACCAATGACCAGTAATGGAAAAATAGAAAATCCTTGCTCCAGGCACTGAGAGACGTGTGTCCAGGTCACCCAATGGTGACCAGGTCAGGAATCGATGTGTGCGAACAAATCCCATGAATTGACTCCAAGCAGCTAACTTACTATTTCTCCCTGGTCATCCGTGGGGCACAAATTGATTACTTGGAGTTAGCTCTCCGTCCCGTTTCAAAGTTCTAGGAAGTCCCCACAAACCAAGCTCTTCTGGGTCTAGGAGGGTATGGAGATGGCCTTGATGAAAGTATGTAACAACCACTGGGAAATGTTAATTTAGCCCGGGAGAAAAGGAAGGGGTGAGAAGGAAACTCAACACTGGCCCGCCTTGACTCTCTTTGGTGTAAGAGGGAGGGAAGAGGGACGTTGTCAGGATTTCAGGGTCGTGTTGTTACGGATTACAGCAGTCGAGTGGAGTCCTAGTAATTCTTGTGGCATTTGGAAAGAGAAGAGGACGACCAGCAGCAAGGTGGATGGCTCAATTACACCAGAGACAGTGCGGCGTTAGAAGACCTGAAGGACCAGGCTGGGGACGGACCATTCTGGAGAAGACCGATCTGTGTGGTCTCTAAGGGTCAATACTGACTTTTTTCCCGCAGGTGAGGTCGGCTTTCTTCTTCTTTTTGGATCAACCGCATGTTGACCCCTTGGTTGCCGCAGGAGGTGGCGGACCGGCTTGTCACCCGAGGCCGACGTCATGGTGGTGGGGGGGCTGGGCCAAAGTCACCCGGGCGGCTTTCGTGCCTTGGGCGGGACTCACCGTCTCCTGCTTTCTCGCCTGGAGCCTTAAGCGCTAGACCAAACTAGCTGGCTATAAACACACACTCACACACGCACACACACTCTCTCTCTCTCACACACACACACATGTATATATACATATACATATATTCAGACACGTATATGTATACATATAAATATATATACATATATACATTCACACACACATATATGTATGTGTGTATACATATATATACACACACATGTATATGTACATATACATATTCAAACACATGTATATGTGTGTATATATATACATATATATATACACACACACACAGATATATATACATGTGTGTATACATATATATATATATATATACACACATACATGTATATGTACATATACAAACATATATTCAAACACATGTATATGTGTATATATATAAATATATATACATATATATATATACACACACTCACACACACACATATATATACATGTGTGTGTATATATATATATATACACGCACATGTATATGTACATATACAAACATATATTCAGACATATTCAGTATATATATCTACACACACACACACATATATGCAAATGTGTGTATATACACACACATGTATATGTATATATACACACATATACACACACCCACACACACGTATATGTATATATATGAATATATATACATACACACACATATATACACATATACATACAGAGTAATTGCCATTTCATTTTTATCATTTTTATCATTTTTATTTTACTTTATTACAGTATTTCATTTCCTTTTTCTTTCCTTTTTATCCTTTTTAATTTTTGCCGTTCTCCTCCTCATCCGAGCACCCCGCGAGTGCGCGTTCACACGGGCGCATCCCCGACTTTTTCTTTTGCACAATCCGCCCCTCGAGACTCGTTCCTCGGGCGGGCCGCAAAAACCCGGATCCCGGCGGCCCGAGGTCCGGCCCCAAGGCAGCCTCCGCACTGAGAAATGCGAGCGATCGCCCTCGCTTCCTTGGGGAAAAAGACCCCTCCTCTTGCACGGGGGGAAGCCCTTTCCAGCAGATGCGGAGAACAGCTGGAGCGCGAAGCCTCCCGTCGTCTCTCCTCGGTTCTGATTTTGTCGCTTTCGCGCTAAGGGATCAGGAATCCCGGAAGTCATGGATCTCGCACGACTCCATTATTCGTACATCTATGTCCTAATGGTTTTTTCCCCCCATCTCCGTAGTCCCTGACATAGAGTTGACAAAACGGAAGAGCGCTGCTACCGGAAGGGCGTCATTTCTTCTTTCCCTCCCGAAGGAACGGAGCGTCTGGGACTCCCGGCCGGGCTATGAGCGGCGCCGCCTCCCATCCGCCTTCCCTCGGGCTGCCCTCCCTCCTCCCTCAACTCCCCTCCCGATCCTGTCCTTAGAAACGGCGCCGGCGTGAACCCGGAAGCTGGGCCTAGAGCGCCGCCGGAAGCGGAAGCGCATTACGTCCGTTCCTTTTCGCCTTCCCCCACCTTTGAAAAGGCGGGGATGTGAGGGCGGGCGGCGCGTGTCCGGGCTGTCAACGCCGGGTCGGCGGCAGCGGCGGGATGGGCGACGACATGGACGTGATCCCCGAGAGGGAGATGAAGGTGAGGCCGGGCTGCGAAGCTCGGAGGAGGCTGGCTCGGGGCGGGGGTCCGAGAAGGGGCAGGAGGGGGACCCATAGTGCTCCCCAGTTTCCTCTATTTCCCTCTCCCAGCCTGATTTTAACCTTTTTGGGCTCTTTTTATAAATCTCGGGGAGGAAGGAGTCCCCTCTCCCTCCCTCCCTCCCTTATTCCTCTGCAGCCCCCTTCTTTACTCCTGCACAACAGCCCTGCCAGGTAGGCCAGGCGGGAAAAGCCTCTAAAGTCGTTTTAGGAGCCTCTCCAGCTTCGATCCTCTCTGGGGTATTTGGAGAGCCAACCCCACCCCCGCAAAGAATAGTCCTGGTTTTGGTTATCTAAGCGTTTTGTTTCATATGCTTTGATTTTTATTAAAACTTTTTTAACAAGAAGATAAAAACTAATACAAATTAATATAAAGTAAAGAAGGAGAGAGGAAAGGAAAGAAATCAAAGAGAAAGCAAGAAGAGCAAGAAAAAAAGTTAAAGGATGGAAAGGAAAGAAAAAAGATACAGAGAAGTGGCTTCTGATCTTCTTCTGATGATCAACTGCTTCTGATCACAGCAGTTATAAATCCAATTATATTTCAACCTCTCTCTCTAAGGCTACATCGTGACTCTCTTTTTTCTATAATCTATCCTGTCTCATCATTAAAGCCATAAATCACAAGTTCATTTTTTTGATTTTAAGCAAAAAGTCTGTAAGAGGTTTCCAGTCACCAATAAATGTAGACAGGGTCTTTTCTCTAATCAAAGAAGTTAATTTATCCATTTAGCAAGATCTGTCAGTTTCACCAACCGTTCCTCCGTAGCAGGTAGTGTCAACTCTTTCTGCCTCTGTGCATATAGCTAACTAAAAGTTTTCAACAGCCAAAAGGTTGGGTTTTCTCCCCTACCTCACCTCACCCCCCAAAGAATGATCCCATCTTTGGTTACCTAAAACTTTAGCAGCTAAAAGTTTGGGGGGGGTTTTAAGTGGTCCCACGCTGCCCCTACGAGGCTTCTCTTTCCAATATGGCTTCTCATACCATGCTTTTCCGGCAGGATTTTCAGTTCCGAGCCCTGAAGAAGATCCGGATCTTCGAAGCCCCCGAGGAGCTGCCCAAGGAGCGTGGCAGCCTGCTGGCCGTGTCCAACAAGTATGGGCTGACGTTTGCCGGTTGTGTGTCTGGACTGCAGGTCTTTCAGACGAAAAACCTGCTCATGCAGATTCAGGCTGGGGATTCTCCTAATAAAATAGGTGAGTTTTATTGGGTTCCCCCTTATGCTAAGCATTAGCTGGTTTGCTGTTTGATTGATTGATTGATTGATTATGTGCCATCAAGCTTGTGCAACTCTTAGCGACCACATAGATAGATTTTCCCCATGGTGATCTGTCCCCAACATGGTCCTTCTGGTCTGTCAATGGTGCAACCATCACTGTAGTGACTGACTCCATCCACCTTACTGCTGGTCGTCCTCTTCCTCTCTTTCCTTCCACCTTTCCCAGCATTGTGGCCTTCTCTGGAGATTGTATGGCTTGTCCAGATAGAGATGGATTGATTTGATTGATTATGTGCTGTCAGACCAGAGTCAGCTCTTAGTAACCACGGAGGTAGACCTTCTCCAGGAGGATCTGTCCCCAGCCTGGTCCTTCAGGTCTGTCACTGGTGCACCATCACTGCAGTAACTGACTTGATCCACCTTACTACTGGTTGTTCTCTTCTAATTCCTTCCACCTTTCCCAGCATCATGAACTTCTCTGGGGATTGTATCATATACCTAGATAGAGATTGATTGATTGATTGCTATCAAGTCAGTGTTTACTCTTAGGGACCACATAGATAGATATTCTCCATAATGATCCATCCCCAGCCTGGTCCTTCAAGTCTTCCAATGGCACACCCATTACAGCTGTAATTGAGTCCATCCACCTTGCTGCTGGTCATCTTCTTCTCTATCTTCTCATTGATTAATTGACTGATTAAGTGCCATTGAGTCACTGTCAACTCTTAGCAATCCCATAGATAGATCTTCTCCAGAATGATCCATCCCCAATCTGATCCTTCAAGTCTTCCAACAGTGCCCTCATCACCACTGTAACTGAGTCCATCCACCTTGCTGCTGGTCATCTTCTCTTTCCTTCCACCTTCCCCAGCATCAGAGCCTTCTCCAGAGAGCTGGGTCTTTGCATAATGTGTCCAAAGTAGGATAATTTGAGCCTGGCTGTTTGTTTGGGAGAGTTGAATTCAGACTTTTTTTTTTTATCTGTTCTTGCCCACCTTTCAAAGATGTGTTTAGTTAGACTTGCTCTCAGGATCTTCAGCTATGCCTAATCAGGGAAGACTGATTGAGCTGTGCTATTGCGTGGCTTAGCATAACCTTCAGGGCTGCATCGAGAAAAGATTGTCTGTGTTTTTTCAACTTTCCCTTTCATTTTGTTCCCAAAGTAGAGAATGTCCAGAGCCTTTTTGTTCCTACAAAGTTTCGGGTGCATCACCTGGCGCTCAGCTGTGATAACCTCACGCTCTCGGTCTGCATGGCGTCCAGTGAAGTTGGGTCTTTTATTGGCTTTTTCGACGTCCGTACCTTTGTGAATCAGGTGAGCTACACATTTTAAACCTGGTTGTCCTTTGGTGCATTGGGCAATTTCACTTCTTCACTTTGAAACCTGGCTGCTGGTCATTTGGGGGGGGAGGAGAGAGGATTTGAACATAACGAACAATTAAAAATCCCCTTTTAATGGGTTACTTTCCACCCAAATTGCTCAATCTCCAATTGTCACATTCTTACCCTGCTTTGTGTATTTATTCTTATTTTAGTTTTGATGTGGTTTGTTTTGAACTC